ATCCTCCTCAGTATGAAGACGCTTGTGGCTTACAGAGGTTAAGGAATTTACTGAGAATCATTTACATGGCTGGACCCAGATTCAAAACCAGGTCTTTCTCACTCTTTTCAGAATACCACAATGTCTGATTTTTTTCACTTCTGGAGCTGGTTGGAATTATATTAAATTTTGTAGTTTTCAGACTTTTATATATAAAGTTGATATAGGTTTTTTTCTTGAGGTTTGTTAGCCGAGATTGGATGTTGGTCAGAAATAAGTAGAGCCTGAATTATCTTTACCCTTCTTTCTACCCTGTGTATACTACTCTGTGTATTTTAAACTTGATTGAAAAATATGAAATTTTTTTCCAACTTGGCTATGCTACTTTTTTCCGCACAGTTTGTCCATAAGAAATGTATTAATGGTTTGAGAAATCTGCACATTATCGAAAGATGACCAGCAGTAAGATTGGGCTTTATTTTACTCATTTCTAAAACAAAAGAATTTTTCTCTGAGTCATTGCCTTTCATATTTTTTGACCATGACCCCCCCACAGTGAGAATGACAGTTTTACATTGAGACATGTTTGTGCGTGCACGCTCACACGCAAAACTTCGAAGTTTCACCAAACAGTACTTATCTTGCTGTATATAATGCTGTTTTATTTTTCACTCTATTCTGGTAGAAAAGTTCCGTCACTCCCCCTAAGCTCATTTCTATAATCTAAAGTATCTCAGCCCACAGTTTGAAGAACACTGCTCTGAATTATCTCCAGGATCCTTCCTTTTTTCAGCGAAATTGTGTGTAGTAGTAATAATAGCATTAGCGTACTGTCACATATTTACTCTGTACTAGATGCTGCATTCAGTGCTTTTCTGTGTATTCTTTGTATTCTTAAACTTCCCTGAATAAATAGGGATTATTATTATCCTCATTTTACAGATGAAGGAGCAACTTCTCAGAGTCAGCGAGTGCTTGAGCCAGGATTTCCCAGTTGATTATTGAGCCTGTGTTCTGATCGTTACTCAAACAGAAATTTATTGTGCTCAAAAATTTGGTAACTAATCTAAATCTTACATTACCACAAGGTTGTATACTTCTAAGAGATTCCTCAGTCAGCACTGGTGGCCGTAACACTTCTCCCTTATTTAAATTGCAGCTTGCTCTAGATCAGGTAAGGACTCGGTATATTACCTCTAACTTGTTGCTTGCCTGGAGAGATCCCTTTACCACTGTGCCACTTTTTTTTCTTATTAAAAAATCTTTGGATCTAACCCCTCATAACAATTATATTTTAGTATCACCTTCTCATTTGAGTCTACATGTGTATTTACTTATTTTTTTACTTAGCTATATAGTCTTTATCATCTTGAATATCTGTGCACTATTCCTGTGTGCTAATGTATTATAGTATTAAGTAAATAATTTCCTCATTGTTAGGTTCTTATTGGAAAGAACTTGAGCTTCAGGAAATGGTAAACTACAGATTGAATTTACCACTAAATTCGCTTTATGGCTTTGAGCAGATTCTTGAACTTCTGTGCTTCAGTGTTCTCATCTGTAAAATAGAATTATAATGTCTGCCTCACCATAAAGGCTGTTAGAATTTCTATCCAAATAGGTAGTGTCAGTGTGCATGGTGACAGTAAAGTATATCAGTTTCAGTGTCATTTCTGTGCTGTATCTATCCAGTGAAGGTGTTGATCTAAATATCAGGGGATATTTGCAAAATATCCCCTTTGCCTTGCAAAAGGTCGACTGATGAATTTGTGCTTTGAAGAAGCCAATAAAATATTAGTAACATTAATTGAGCTTTTAAAAGATAATTTTTAAACCTCCAGTTGTGAAATTTCTGTGTCTGCCTGTATTTTTCTTCATAAATTATATCAAATACAAATTTCCAGCTTTAAGATTTAAGAAAGACATTGATAAAGGAAAGTAAAGGGCATCTAAAAAGAACCTGAAATGTGATGAAGCGTTATAATGCTAACAGGTAGGAGATATTTTAAGGGTGGTCGTCTGTAAAGCATTGAAACATGACTCTGTCTCCTCTTTATGTGCCAAACATTGAACTTGCCACTTAACTGAGCTCTCAAATATTTGTTGTATGGATGAGAAATGTTCCAAAACTGCATGTCTGCTTCCTTACCTGCCACTTACTCCTTAACCAGTTGGACTTTGGGATCACTTGGAAAAACTGGTATTACTTCAGCTACCTGATTGTCAGACTGAATGAACAAGGTTTGGTTCACATCCTTATTAACCTGTTAGAGCATTTGACCATGCCAAATGCCTTTAATTTCTGGCGTTTGTCTTGGTGTTCACTTGTGCAACCCCCTTCTCTATACAACATCGAAATTTTTGGTATAACTTAGCTAGGTTATATGTTCTTGACTTTCTTCTAACTACAAATTCTGTCTTACCCACGCTCATGGCTTTGATTCCGTGACCTTTCAATTTCTAGCCTGGCCCTCTCTTCTGTATTCAAGATTTATATTCCATTCTCTGCCTGGATATTCAGTAGGCATCCCAAATTAAATCCAACGTTTCATCATTATCCCTGAATCAGTACAGTATATAGACCGGCACAGACATCTGGTTGATATTTTTTTCTGTACGTTTTTCTCTTTATGTTTCACCATAGTTAATAGTCTCAGCATGTATTTAGTCAGTAAGCAGCATTATGTAAGGGTATGAGTATAAGGGTTTGTGAGTTTTACAGTCAACAAACTTTAGTTCCGACCCACTCCCTGGGCATCCAAACAGATGTAACCCTTTTGAGTATCATATCAAAAGAGGAGTAACAGAATCTAGGTTAGTTGTCAATATGATTACATGAAATAATGCACCACCAAACGCATTTCTTCCTTGTTCATCGTAAGCACTCAAATGTTGATTCCTTCCTCTCTTCCAAAGTTGTCTTTTCTTTATGAAATATATTAACACCCTTCCACTGTCTCATGTGATAGCGCTTGAAGGTTCTCTTGCTGGTCTTTTGCCTGAATGGTGGTTATACTGCTATATGGTATCATTTGTATTTTAACTTTTTAAAAGAATTGTGGTAATTTAAATATAGACTATGGAGTGTTTCATCAGAAGGTGCACTGGTCTGTCTTGTGTGCTCAGCTGACTTTTAATATGGCAGGTTGCTTACTGCAGAAATAATCAGGAAGTGCTATTTAGAACATTAAGTGAATATTAGCTCTGGCTGAGGCTTCATTAAAATATGACTCTCTAAGCTTTAAATGACCAGACAAGTAGTTCTCATTGTTTGTTTTATATTGGCACCTGAGCTAACATCTGTTGCCGATCTTTTTTTTTTCCTTCTTCTCCCCAAAGCCCCCCCAGTACATAGTTGTATATTCTAGCTGTAGGTCCTTTCGGTTGTGCTGTGTGGGACACCACCTCAGCATGGCCTGATGAGCAGTGGTATGTCTGCGCCCAGGATCCGAACTGGTGAAACCCTGGACCACTGAAGTGGAGTCTGCAAACTTGACGCTCAGCCACGGGGCCAGCCCCTGTTGCTCATTCTTAAGATCCTTGTATAAACTTTTCTGCATCCCTTTTCTCTGCTTTAAAGTACAGAGGAGGAAATAAAATAACAGTAATAAACAACTGTCTTAATAAATTTTATAGCTTATAAATGGTCAGAGTATATCGTTTATAGATGTATGCTGTATATTTCATGCAGTGTTGATACTTTTAGAATTTGTATTTAACTTGAAATATTTTAAATTGTTTTGTAGTTTCTCATTGGTTTATGTAATTTCAAAGATTACTATCTTTCTAATTGTTTTTCACATAATCTCAAGGAGGATTTTTAAAATAATGAAGAATTATGACCTGTTTATTTAGAGAATCTTTCTTTTCTTAGATAAATTCCTGTATTAATATTATTTATGGGAAAATTCTGTCTTTCTCTGCTTAAACAGAGTATCTGTTCTTCTATTGCTCATATCTGGCATTCCATACCTTTTCTAAAATTACTGTTACTGTTATCTGTAGTCCTACTGTGTCTGTTATTTTGGAAACCTTTGAAAATTCTCTCTGAATTTCAAGGATATGTTGTTACTTGGGGCTGTTTACTCTGGGAGGAGAGACTTTTATTCTTCAGGCTAGCCTCTTAGTCGTGGTCTAGTAAGGTCTATGTCTTAGCAATTCCATATTTGAAATATCAACATTAATTGGAAAGGAATTAAATACAAAGTTGATAATGCTCAGGAAGCCCTGAAAATTATTTCAGAATATCTTTAGAAGTCCCAGGTGAGTATGTGCCTATGATTAAACAAAACAAAATAAAACAGTAATTTAAGAAGCTAGATATAAGCTTCTTAATGTCAGGATTTTGTCTTTATAACCCTCTGTGGGCTCTCATTATGTCTTGGTTGGATTTAACCTTTTGGGGGAAGGAGCATGCATATGTGGTTAAGCCTCCTGGGAGCACCAGATTGTCGGATTTACTGTCGAGAGGTTTGTTAAATGTGGTGTCATTTTTATTCCTGACTAAATCAAGAAATTGTGAATTCCAGCTTTATAATGACATTTTAAATTTCTTGCCTGATTTAGTGCGTGTGTTTCTCCAAATGAACCTTAGAATTATTTGAAGTTCACCAAAATCTCAGTGTTTGGATTAAAGATTGAATACGTTAAATATTGAGTCACACTATTGCCACTTTGAATCCGGGGAGCATGGCGTGTTTGTTTCCATTCAGATCATTTTTGAGTTCTTCAGTAAAGTTTTGTAGGTTTTTTCTGTTGCAGGTTTTGTAAATTTCTTAATGTTTTTTCCTTTTTTCGTTTTTGTTGCTTTTTAATATGATCCTTTCCCAGTGTATTTTCTAAGTGGTAGAGCAGGTATGTAGGAAGACTCTTGGTTTTCTTTACTAGCCAAATTGTTAAACTTAGTTCAAAATGTTTGTTATCCTTTTAGTTAATACATTGCAAATATCTTTGTAGAACTGGAAAATTGACTTCTAATTTTACCTTTATTTAAAAATTTTTTTTCTGTTTTTGTTTTTAAGCTCTTTTCACTTATGGATATGAAACCTCCTATCTCTCGAGCCAAGATGATCCTCATCACAAAAGCTGCTATTAAAGCTATTAAGGTAAGAGTAAAATAAAATATATTTAATTTAAAAATTTTTTGAGATTTTGAAAATGTTATCATTAAACGTGAGAATGCATCTTGTGAATTAATTCAGGCCTGAAACAAAGAACACTAACCAGCTTCTGCTGAAGGTACATGTTAATACAGTTTGGTACATTCGCATTGTAAATATTATTTCAAAACCTGGTTTTTTTTCTTAGTTGTTGTTAGTATTTGTTTCAAACTTTATCGAGGTATAATTGACAAATAAAAATTGTATATATGTTTAATAATATAATGTAATAGAACATGATGATTTGATACACATATGCATTGTGAAATGATTACCACAATCAAGCTAATTAACACATCATCTCACGTAGTTATCGTTTTTGTGTGTGTGGTGCTGTAAGAGTTGAACTCACTGAAGTAGAGAGTAGAATGGTAGGATTTGTTTTTTTTTTTTTTTTTATTTCGTTTAATTCTTGTCATAAATCAGCAGACCTCGGGCTCAATAAAGTTAATACCCAAGATCACACCTAAATAAGTGACTCGCAGTAAAAACTGCACTATTCTGTTCCAAAGGCCATTGTTGTTATCCCTCTCATAAAGTTGCCTGATACACTACTTTATGAAGGTTTCTTGATTAAAAATCTGAAAAAAGGACTTCTGTTTTGGGGGATTTTTCTGTTTTAGTTAATTCCTTTCTGATTTGTTCAGATTTTTTTCAGTTGTTGACTATGGATTATTTCTCATGGTTTATTCAGTTTATCTTGAGAATTATTCAAATTGTGCAAATTTCAGGGTTTTAAGTATTTTCTAATTTTAGGAAATGTAGAAATATGTAAACTGGACAATAATTTTCTTTTATTCTTTTCAGCTTTATAAGCATGTCGTTCAAATAGTAGAAAAGTTCATCAAAAAGGTAACTCTCCGTTTCATTATTACCTCATTTTAGTTATGATCAGTATTTATAATTTACTTTGTAAATTGTAATTTGGATACGTGCTTCTAAAGCCACTCTGCAAATAAATTGTCACTAGAAGTTCTTTTTAATTACTAGAATTTTTTTGTTGTTTTTAACAAAACAAAAGCAAATTGATAGCAGTCGTGTAGTTTGAGCACTTAGTGTGAGGTAGCACTCAACAAGAGTGTCTGGATAGAGGTCTCCTTGAGCCTGATGTGCCACCTCTGCCCTGACCACTCTGTTGACATCTAACTCAGCTTGTAGTATTGCAAATGAAGTCACTTTGTGAAAGTTCTTTCAGCTTTTCCCTGGTCGCATCATAATTAAACCATTTTTCAGTTTTACTGTTGTATGTTGTTTTATAACTGTGTGATTACCACATTTCAGTGGAGGACCAAGAACAGAGACTTAGACATTTTTGTCTTCTCCCCCAACCTGGAGCTGTGCCATATGATACACACTAATGTGTTTGGAAATGTCTCTGATCCATGGCCTTTTCATACTGGCTGAGAGACAGGAGTTAGAGCTCTAACAGACACCAAAAAAAATGATCAGTAGAGGTGTTTGTAGTAGCAGATCAAAGTACAAATAAGTAAAATAGAAAAAAATTAATATTACCTGCATGCCACCACCCCAGATTACTGTGAAGATTTACGTTTGGATCTACTCATTTTTATTGTGTACCTGTACATTTATAAGAGGGAAAATGGTGGCAGACTGATTGATAACCTGCTCTTCCCACTGAATTTATCATAGACATCTGCAAAGATTCCATTGCATGATTGTTTCTGTGATTAACTCAGCCAGTTCCCTGTTGTTGGACATTTCGCTTCAGTGGCTGACCTAATGGAAAAAATTAGGTGCATCTTAATCGTTTTCCTTAGAATAAATTTATAGATGTAGAATTATTGGATCAAATAAGGCTTTGCATTTATTGCTAAATCATCTTCTGTAAAAGCTGTAGTACTAGAAATGTGTGTAGGTGCCTGTTTCTCTATTCTTTTTATCTTGTCAATTTGATAGGCCAAAATGACCTCTCCTTTTAGTTTTTGTTTCTCTGTTACTGTGCTTTTAATAGAATTAAAATTGATATGTTAACATTTTTTTGATAATACAAGGTAAAAATTATTTTTTTGAGCAGGGTGAATTGGAGTAGAGACTATCATAGTAAGTGGATTTGTATGCAAGTGCCTTAGGGATTGATAAAGTAATGTTGATTCTGGGAAATTATGGGGTGGTGGATAGGGAGATCAGAGAGAAATAAAATATTGGGAATCTGAAGTATCAAGAGAATGCTGTATTCTTCTATATAGACCTGTGGGAAATTTGACAAGCTAGCCAATAAGAGAGCTAAGCACTCAAGTAGTTTCTAAATAGAAACAATCATTGGATAAACAAAGTTTCATAAAAGTGAGATTAATAGGTGTCAAATTGTGATTTTGCTTTTCTTGTATTGACTTTACATCTTTGTCTTTGTAGTGTAAACCTGAATACAAGGTTCCAGGATTATATGTAATCGACTCAATTGTGCGACAGTCTCGGCATCAGTTTGGAACTGATAAAGATGTTTTTGGGCCAAGATTCTCTAAAAACATAACCGCTACATTCCAATATTTATATCTTTGTCCATCTGAAGATAAGGTATAGTTAATAATTTTTAAATTAAAACTTGTGTTCTTGTTTTTATATTTATTTAAATCTGTTTAAATGTTTATTAGATATTTGAAGCCTACTGTATAACTAGGAAGATAATCATGTAGTGATCTCTGTGAACTTGAAACAAAACCCACGTTTTTTTTGTAGTGGTCATCTCATCTGTTTTCTTGTGAAGTCCTTCAGGAATGTACTGTTGAAATATGAAAAGAGCACCATCTTCCTCTAAAGAAGGCATTGTTGGAAAGATTTACTTACAATTGAGTGAAAAAGAAATTCTGCAGTAGAGAAAGACCGTGCTCATCTCAGATTATTGCTTATTCCAGAAGGAAGGGACCAATAATCGATGGCTTTCCTTAGCATATAGAGATGCTAGAGCATAAATGGCATCTGTTAGCAATCAGACTACAGTATTTAATTCCTTATATACATAGCTGGTTTAACTGTGTACTATAAAAAGGTAGAAAAACATTACAGACGTAATAGCTGGACTCCAGTAAGTGGGAGAATTACACTGGTAAATCTCAAAATAATGAAGAATGGAGACATTTACAATAAACGGCATATAAATTTGAGTGTTGTAGATTCTGTATTTATGTTTTTGGAGGAGTGCTTTTCTGGGAAAGATATACAAGAGAAAAGAATATCATTCCTTGAGTAGGAGATACGTGTTATACTCATGAATAACACATCTTCTCTGGATCGCCTTCATATTTACTGGTCCATAAAACAACTTAGCAGTTGCAGGCCAGTTTCTTAAATATTTTAACCGTTAGGATCATCCTGAGGAAATTCTTTTTTACTTCATTTACTTCTCTAAGATAACTAGTTTTTGTCATTGATAGAGTCTCTTTGTAAGCATAAATAAAATATAATGAAAACTTCAAATACTTTTTTTATTATAATGTATTTCTTTTGATTCTCCAGGTTATATTCCTTTTCTCTTCCCTTTTTTTGTTTTCCTTCTGTTTCTTACTCTAGATTACACTACTAAAGAAAGGCTAATTAGAGTAGAGTAATTGTAATTCTGATGATAGATTTTTTTTTTCCTATTTACAAAACAGACTTAGTATGGATATGTTAGCCTAGGGGATTTTTTTTCTTTTTTTGTAAGAGGTATAATAAATTATTTATGGTACGTTCATGTTTTCTCACACATAACAGAGTAAAATAGTCCGTGTGCTGAACCTTTGGCAAAAAAATGGAGTATTCAAGATTGAAATTATTCAACCTCTTCTGGACATGGCAGCAGGAACCAGTAATGCCGCCCCAGTAGCAGAAAATGTTACTAATAATGAAGGTATGGTCAAGGGTATCTGTGACCTTAGAAAACAGTATAACTTTATTCATGAAAAGTTTGAAGTCTGTTTATATTGGTATAAAATTTCCATAAGGAAACTTGAGTTTGCATCTTGGAAGGTATGGTTTTCTTTGCATAATTCTTATTTCTAATAAAAGTCTGCTCTTCCAGTACTTGTTATAGACTGTACAGAATCTGTATTTTTACTATCTGTTAAATGGAATGTTACTTGAATGGAATGTTGTGTCATTGAAGAAGCTTAATGGAGTTTAAAAGGGAAAATTTGTAAGTTAAAGTTTTCTTAGGGCTTACTGACCTTTTCTTTTTTAGGTTCACCTCCACCTCCAGTTAAGGTTTCTTCTGAACCCCCACAAGCCACTACAAACTCCGTACCAACTGTACCACAGTTGCCCAGCTCGGATGCTTTTGCTGCTGTAGCCCAACTGTTTCAGACGACACAAGGTCAACAGGTAAACCACCTATCCTATCCAAAGATTAAATTCCTGTAGTTGGGTATTATTGTCAGTTCTTATTTTCCACACCTAATTAATGAGCACATTCAAGGGTGGAAATACTTCTACTTTTCAACTAGAAAAGCCTTCACTAGGAAGGTAATGGCATGGGGATCATTAGGGGGGAGTGGGGAAAGGTGAAAAACAAGGGAACAGCACACTGAGAAATAGTAATACGCCTTGGTGGAGCGAACTTTACAACTACTAAGTGGCTGATATTGGTGCTCTCAATTCTAGCATTTCTGATTGATTTCAAAATTATTTGGAAATGTTTTTTACATTTTTCTAGAAAATATATATTTACCTTGGTTACAACTTAAGTGTATTTTCTCTTCTCTTTGACCATCATTTTCTACCACTGGGGTCATCAGCATACAATTTTAACCTTAAGTGATGCACATTGTATCCCTGATAGATTCATTCACAACAAACTTAACCATTACTAAAAGGTAGATTCCTTTTTTCCAGTTTACTCTGTGTCTGTGCTATTTTGAGTCACCTTTAAGATTTTTTAGCAAGTTAATTTTTGATACTATGAGTATACTTCCTTATGTGGTTTATCAGTTTTCCCGTTCTTTAAGCTTCAGCAGATCCTTCAGACTTTTCAGCAGCCTCCAAAACCGCAGTCTCCTGCCATTGACAATGCTGTGATGGCTCAGGTTCAGGCTCTCACAGCTCAGTTAAAGACAGCTCCTACACAACCACCTGAACAAAAAGCTGCTTTCCCCCCGCCTGAACAGAAAACCGCATTTGACAAGGTACGCTCCTCTCACATAACCCGCCCGGCTCTTGATGTCACTCAGCTTGGACCGTGGAGGTTACCCTTCTCTAGCTTCTCTGTAGTTTGTTCATTTTCTTGTTTTGTTGTTTGAGGGATTTTTCTCCCTCAGCATCAAAACATTTTTCCTGGTTATAAATGTAATATATACTCATCACAAAAATTTTTAGTAAAAAGGAAAAGTAAACAGAACATTCACCATTAACCCTCATACTTGAAGATAACTACAGTAACATTTGCTGTATATCTTTTCAGAATTTACTGTGGATATATGCTTTTCTTTATTTGGTCATAATATATATACACTATTTTTGACTTGCTTGTTTTGATCTTAATCCTCTTGTCTCTGTTGTTAAGGTTAATAGATTGAGATCTACATTTTTACTGAGTGCTTATTAGGAGTATTAGGTTAATGGACACGTTACAGTTTAGCCATTCCCCTATTGATAGATATTTAAGTTGCTTTCTGTTTTTTGCTGTTAAAAACCTTAATTACCATATCTATAACATGAGGGTTTGGATTGGTTCAGTGTCTTCCAACTCCTCTGTTGGGCCTTAGGCATGTTTAAGGATCTGCCACTAAGGATACAGATGTGCTGATTATGCACAGCTCAGAACTTCCTGTCGAAATGTTAACCCAGACAACTCCACTCTTTGTCTGTCTTGTGTCTTGTCTATGTATTGAGTTTGTGGCTATATAAAATTTCATTTCATTTTACAGGTTTCATTGCAAAAAACAGAAAAGTTTGAAAATCCCAAAACAGTTTAATCTAGTCTAAAATTTTGTTCTTCCTGGCATTCTAATTATAAGATACAATAACTTGATTATTGGTAGTCCAAATTAAGAATCCATATGGTAAATGCTGGTTGTCATTATATCTTTGACTATTGATTAAAAGAAGGTTGGGTAAAATTTTTGAGTACAAAAGGGGTACTTGCTTTGGGGAAGAAATGCAAATAAAACAAAGTTCTAAAGGAAAAAGGGAAGCAATTTCACTCTGCTTTGAACAGATTTGAGTACATTCTTTCAGAGCTATTTCCGTGCACGTGTGAACATGAACTCTTTTCATATTGTGGTTTTATTTATTAGTTGTCTGTTTTGTGTTGTGATTTGGAAAACTTTCCCCACCTGTACTAAAAGTTCTATATTTTGTTTTCGTAGTTTTATAGTCTTGTTTTTTGTGTTTGTCTCTTCTTTTCATCTGGAACCTATTTTAGAATAAGCATTCAAGATAGTTAAATCTTTATATTTTTGGAAATAGCCAATTCTCCCTCACTATTTTTGTCATACACTAAATTCTCATTTGTTTCTATGTCCATACTGGACACTGTTCTGTCTCACTAATAATTATTTCCGCATCATAACAATTTAAATACTTGCAATTTATATACTGTTTCATTTCCAGGTGTTCCCCTTCCCCTTATTCTTTTTTAAACTTTCTTTGGCTATTCTTGGGCATATGTATTAGAGTCCTCCAGAAAAACAGGACCAATTTTATTTATTTATCTATCTATCCAGCTATACACATAGACGCACACAAAGGGGAGAGAGGGAGAGATTGATTTGACTTTTAAGGAATTGGCTAGCACAGTTGTGGAGTCTGGCAAATTTGATATTTGTGGGGCACACTGGCAGGCTGGAAACTCAGGTGAGAGTTGCAGTCTTTAGTCTGAATTCTGCAGGGCAAGATTTCTGTGTTGCTGTCTTGAGAATTCCTTCTTCAGAAAACTTAAGTCCTTGCTCTTAAGGACGGATTGGTTGAGGCCCACCCACATTATAGAGGGTATTTCTTCATTGAAAATATACTAATTTAAATGTTAATCGTATTTTAAAACTACTTTCACAGCAACATCTAGATTAATATTTGACCAAACAACTGGGCACCATAACCTAGCCCAATTGACATGTACACTTAACCATCACAGCATACTTTTCCAGGTGAACTTTAGCATAAATTTTAGAATTTATGAATTTATAGGTTAATTTAAGAAGTACTGATAGCTTCTTATACAGAATCTCCATTTATTAAAATCTTTTTTCATATATCTTGTATGTTTCACATTTCACTTATTCTTAGATATTTACTCATTTTTCCTGTTTAATGTTTCATAACACTTTTCATTTGGTTATTGATGCTATAGAGGGAAACTGTTGATTATTTTCTTGTAAATGGTCATGGTATTAAATGCTTTGTTTTCTAGTTGGTTCTCTCAGATTTTCTAGGTAGCTACTAAACTTGACTTTTCCTTTTCAACATCTGTGCCTGTTTCTTTTTCTTTTCTTATTGTACTTGTGGCTAGGACTTCAGAAAAGTGTTGATAATAGCAATGATAGTGGCATCCTTGTTTTGTTGTTAATTTGAGTTATGATTCCTCTAGTGTTTTACATTAAATGGGTTGGTCAGTGTTTGTTAGTTATATCAAATTTAGAAAAGGGAATTCTATGCTTCTCCTTGGACTAAAAAGGTTTATTTTAAGCTAGTCAAACAGCTTGACCGGGAACAATTTGTTTATTTCAGCTGCTTCGTAGATCTTCAGTTTCCTAAAAAGTGACAAAAATGTCCTTTTGGATAGATCTCAGTTTTAATTTTTTAACTGCTTCAAATCTTTTCCGAACACAATAGGTATAAATCTTCAAACTTTAAAGAACATATCTACAGTCATGGGTCACTTAACGACGGGGATGCATTCTGAGAAGTGTGTTACTAGGCAGTTTCGTCATTGTGCAAACATCATTGAGTGTACTTACGCAACCGTAGATGGTATAGCCTGTTGCTCCTAGGCTACAAACCTGTACAGCCATGTTACTGTATTGAATACTGTAGGCAGTTGTAACACAAGAGTAAGTATTTGTGTATCTGTATCTAAGCACAGAAAAGGTACAGTAAAAATACAGTATAAAAGATTAAAAATTAGTACACCTGTATAGGGCACTTACCATGACTAGAGCTTGCAGGACTGGAAGTTGCTCTGGGTGAGTCACTGAGTGGGACCACTGTCATATATGTGGTCTGCTGTTGAATGAAACACTGTTATGTGGCACATGGCTATATATGTGATAAATTGCCAAGAATCATATGTTTTGGTCTTTGTAGACAGTTCAGATGATTTTAATTTTAGCTCTTATCACTGACTCTATCTTGGTGATGAGTTACTTAAATATTCAGTGTCAACCATTGTAAAATAGCCATGGTAGTACCTATATTTTATTGTTGCCATGAGGGTTAAATAAGTTAATGTGCATAAGACAGCAGGGTGCCTTGGCCATGTTAGATCTCACTCAGTTATAATAAGAAGCTTTAATCACATGGCCTAGAATTACAAAGAAACACAAGTGTTGTCCAAGAAGGGGACTTCCCTTCCTGATTTAGAAATCTGTTGTCCAGTAAAGTAGAACCAGAATTTCTAGGTAGTACTATCCTAGAACAACACAAGTTTAGGAATTTGAGGTTGAAAGTTCATGAGAAGAATGGGCACAGCTTGAGAGAAGAGACTGCTTGTTGGATGCTAGAGACTGCCGGCTTTGAAGTCTAAAAGATCAGTGTCCATATCCTGATTCTCCCATTCACTGACTGTACAATCTTGGTTATGTTTCTTAATCCCCTGAGCCTTCGTTTCCTTGTCTGTGAAAAGAAGAAACTGTATCTACGTTACATGCTTCTTATGATGATGAAGTATCATACGTAATCTACCAAAACACAGTAGTAGGTGTTCATTGTGTTGCCTGCCTGCCTTCCTTTCTGAATAAATGGAATTGTGTTTTTAAGTGGCTCTTCTAGACAAGTGATCTTGTAAGGTGCCCTGATTCTTTTTTTTTTTTTAATGAAAGTTTCTGGTAACTTGAGGTGAGCTGTGAAGTTTGATGAAAGAAGCTAGTATACAGGTAGTGAGACTTCTTTATGGCCCTGTCCATGCCATTCTCTTTTTTCTTTTTCGTGGTAGTATATTCTTGAGTAAGCAGCATATGGACATTTTTCTCTAGACATTTATAGTGATTGGACAAGACAGTCATTCTTTTTGTCCATTTTGTAGCTGACTGAAAATGTATACCCATTTCACGTGTGCAAGTTCCAGAAGTTTTTAGTCTAGGAAAGTGAGTATTTTAGTAAAATAGTTATATTTCTAAGTTAATTATAAAATAAGCATATAGAGAATAGTTAAAAAGAAAATCCTGCACTTGTAATTGGGGAAGAAAAGCAGAATAAAAAATTACGTCTTTTCCAAATGGCATTTCTGTAAAATTTGTCTATGAATGAAGTGGGAAAATGAGATTGTATGTGACAGCATGGTGGGATTATAGATGGTGGTACACATCTGTTGTTTTCATAAAGTTTTTTTGTGCGGTAAATCACAACCTGAATTTTAAAATGGAATATTGACATACCTATTCCAGAAGCTACTTGATAGATTTGATTATGATGATGAGCCAGAAGCTGTGGAAGAATCAAAGAAAGAAGATGCTGCTGCTGCCGCTGCCACCACAGCACCTGCTGCTGCTGTTGCTCCGCCTGCGCCCACTGCTGCCGTGCCCGCTGCTGCCACGCCTGCTGCTTCTCCTCCACAGGCACCCTTGTAAGTTTCTTTCTTCTATTTCCTCAGTGGATGTAGAGTTGGTGATCATTATAAGGCATGATGTAAGTAACGTTCGGTAGCAAATAATTTTTTATATGGAGTCATTGTTTTTGAAAATTGTGATATTTTGGGTTTTCTCCCAAATGAGGGAGGGAATCCTGTCAGATTTACATTAAAAAATGGCTTTTGGGGGCCGGCCGGGTGGCGTAGCAGTTAAGTTCACACGTTCTGCTTCTTGGCAGCCTGGGGTTCTCTGGTTCAGATCCCAGGTGCGGACATGGCACTGCTTGGCATGCCATGCTGTGGCAGGCGTCCCACATGTAAAGTAGAGGAAGATGGACACAGATGTTATCTCAGGGCCAGGCTTCCTCAGCAAAAAAGACGAAGGACTGGCAGTTAGCTCAGAGCTAATCTTCCTCAAAAACAAAACAACAACAAAAAAAACTATTTAAAAAAATGGCTTTTATGTTGGGAACAATGCTGAGCGTATAAATTTATATAGGCAAATATACGATTCCGTAAAATGTTGATTATTAATGACTGCTGAATAACATTCTTTATGTTTCTGTAGTGTAAATGTGGCTAAGATTCTTACGTGTTTTTGAATGGGTAAAAAGGTTGCTCATCATTTTCAGTGGGTTTCCTGGAGATGGCATGCAGCAGCCAGCATATACCCAGCATCAAAATATGGATCAGTTTCAACCTCGAATGGTGGCAATCCAGCAGGATCCAGTGCACCATCAGGTACAGGTGTTTTTCTTGCAGCTGATAGTTATTAGAGCATATGAGTTGCACTTCACAGACCACTATTATTTAGCTGTGTGATTGGCTAAGTGGTACTACAGCTACCATAAAAGCTGTTGAGCACGTAAGTGATTTGGGTTGTTTTTTGCTTTAATTAAAACAAGGATGCTAAGGTATTACATGCTTATAATTTAGTAATAGGTATTTTTGTTAAAATTGTTCAGAGAGAGATTATGGTTCTATTTCAGGGAACTGGTTTGTTTAGTTATATAGTTCTTTCCCTTGTGAGGAGGTTTTTTTAAAAATGTGTGATAAAATGCTTTAGAGGGCTTCCAGCTCTCAACATTCAGGAATACAGTTTGCAATCTGCAGTAAAAGGAGCATAGCACACTGGAGAATTGCAGGCATTTAGTAGAAATTTGTTCATTGAATTTATTTTGGTAAATTCGTAGTTTCCTAAACTTGACTGTGCATCTCTATTATGGGGGCAGGAGGCGGGGCATTTAAAAATTATGAATCTTGTGGGGCCGGCCCTGTGGCCAAGTGATTAAGCTCGTGCACTCTGCTTCAGCAGCCCAGGGTTTCACCAGTTCGGATCCTGGGCGCAGATGTGGTATGGCTCATCAGGCCATGTTGAGGCGGTGTCCCACATGCCACAACCAGAAGGACCCACAACTAAAAGAATATACAACTATATACTGGGGGGATTTTGAGAGAAAAAGCAGCAAAAAAAAAAAAAGACTGGCAACAGTTGTTAGCTCAGATGCCAATCTTAAAAGAAAAGAAAGATTATGAATCCTGGTCCTCCAGTGCTCCAACTCTCTAGAGAATCTGTATTTTTTTTTAAATTGTGTAGTGATTTTGTTGTACAACCAGCCTTGGGAAATACTACTTTATATCCTAGTTTAGAAAGTGTTCTAGAAACCTCTTTGGAGTATATTCATTTTCTCATCTGTATCATGTTCACTCCATTCTTTATGTTTGGTAACATGAAATTGATGTTGTATTTTTATAACTTATTGATGAATGAAGTTTGAAAAGTACTTTATAAGCCAGTTTAAAACTTATTTCCAAATGTTTAACAATTACTGAAAGTTTATAAATAATTTAGATAGAATACGTCTTTATGACATAATGACATTATAGTTATACTTTATTTGTATTGGCATTGGAATGGCACATACAGAAATAGGTTAGGTTGTGGTTTACTCTCATTATTATTATGATATTTGAAACCCTAAAAGTAGGCATGTTGGTTGAAACTCCTTGGAGTAAATCTTTTAAAAGTGAACCTAGAAGTGAATGCTTCTAGCCACTCTCCCTCTGAAAAGGCTTACTTGCCTTTAAAGTTGAAGAGAGACAACTTGCAATAGAGTACCCTCTGACTTTAAGCTCCATCTGTCACATTGCTTCCTCATATAAATGAAATTATGTCTTATTAAATGTGTAATACCAAACCTGTGTGTTCATAATTTTAACAGGAGCTATAGGATTTTTAAGCTGTATACTTGGATGTATAAAGATTGGCTAAAGATTGTACCTGTGGAAATTGTTGTGTATGTCATGTTTTTCCTTGATCAAAATTTACTGAAGAAGTTTTAGTTTTATATAAAGTAGTAAGCGTTTTTCTGATTATTTTTGGTAGCTATTACTTAAAATCTACTCGTACACTTTTTTTTGTTTTAACATACGAAAAGGTTCCGCTTCCTCCTAATGGACAGATGCCAGGATTTGGCCTTCTTCCTACACCTCCATTTCCTCCCATGGCTCAGTCTGTGATTCCTCCAACTCCCCCCGTGCAGCAGCCTTTCCAAGCTTCTTTTCAGGCACAGAGTGAACCACTTACACAGAAGGCACATCAGGTAACACTTTATTCTCAGGTTGTTGGTTATCTGTTTGGTTGCCTTGACTTACATGCGGATTCCTGCCTTTTTGCTTGCCATCATTTTTTAATATGAAGAAAGACTGTTATGTGGGGCACACAGTAACCTCTGTGCCCTAAGTTTTTCATCTGGAAAGTGGACCTAATAAGACTACTAAGTTCCACAGGGTTCTGTGAGGATTGAGATACATAATAGGATGCTTAGCCAGTGCCTAATGCACTACTTTAGGTAATGGTTTGTTAAAACAGTATGTAACTTGTATGAGGTAGTTTCTAGAAGTAGAGAAGTATTCTAATCTTGTAAACCATATAAAAAAAATTTTTCCCACTGATGACCAGTCATTATTAAACTAGTAGTTTGGTCTCAAGTAACCAAAAGAGAACTGTTTCAGGACAAGAGATTTGTAATTCACTGTTCTTTAGATTTTGTCCTATTGCCTCTATTTATAATTTCCACTTTTCTCATTTAATTATGTTCATTTATTGTTGTTTTTTCTTCTTAAGGAAATGGAAGTGGAACAACCTTGTATTCAAGAGGTTAAGCGGCATATGTCTGATAACAGAAAGTCAAGATCTAGGTCAGCATCCAGGTAATTTATAGGAATGTTTTTCCAATCCTGTGTGTCTTAGGAGACAGAGAGATTAAAATCAAGTTGGATTGTTTTCAGATATGCAGCCTTAATAAAATAACACTTCCTGGGCTGGCCTGGCGGCATAGTGCTTAAGTTCAGCATGCTCGGCTTCAGTGGCCTGGGGTTCACAGGTTCAGATCCCAGGCGCAGACCTACACCTCTCATCAAGCCATGCTGTGGCAACACCACACATACAAAATGGAAGCAGATGGGCACAGATGTTAGCTCACGGCCACTCTTCCTCAAGCAAAGAGAGCAAGATTGGCAGCAGGTGTTAGCTCAGGGCCAATTGTCCTCCCCAAAAATAAAATAACACTTGGTATGTTTATATGTCTCTATGTATGGAGTGGGAGCAGGAGAAGTACATTAAAAAAATCTAAGGTCAGGGGCTGGCCCCGTGGCCGAGTGGTTAAGTTCGCGCGCTCCGCTGCAGGCGGCCCAGTGTTTCGTTGGTTCGAATCCTGGGTGCGGACATGGCACTGCTCATCAAACCACGCTGAGGCAGCGTCCCACATGCCACAACTAGAAGGACCCACAACGAAGAATATACAACTATGTACCGGGGGGCTTTGGGGAGAAAAAGGAAAAAAATAAAATCTTTAAAAAAAAAAAAAATCTAAGGTCAGTCATCTTAACCACATTTTTTTCCTTTGAGTTACTCTAATGCCTACATACAGATATACATGGAATTATATGAATTATGTAATCAAAGTTCCGTTTCAAGTTTATCAACCAACAAAAGTAGAAAGATAAGTAATACTATAATAAGGTTATACTTTTGGGGCAGGGGGTGTAATGGATGTTTTTCGTTTCTTAAAGCAGTGTTTTTCACTTTACACATATCTCTTTTTACTATTTAATAAATAAATTTTTTTATTTTTTTAAGGAAGATTAGCCCTAAGCTAACATCTGCTGCCAGTCCTCCTCTTTTGCTGAGGAAGACTAGCCCTGAGCTAACATCCGTGCCCATCTTCCTCTTCTTTATATGTGGGACGCCTGACACAGCATGGCTTGCCAAGCCATGCCACATCCACACCCGGGATCCAAACGGCAAACACCAGGCCGCTGAAGCGGAATGTGCACACTTAACCGCTGCACCAGCAGGCTGGCCCCTAAATAAATTTTTTTAAGGCAACAATTGGTTCCACATAATAGGTGTTTTCTCTAGTTAAAATTGATTCCTGTTGTCTTTTTTTGAATTAAACTGTTGAGATAATTGTAGATTCACATGCAATTTTAAGAAATAATACAGAGAGGTCCCATTTACCCTTTACCTAGTTTCTGCCATTTGGTAACATCTTGCAAAACCATAGTACAGTATCAGGATATTAGCATCAGTAGTCAACATACAGAGCATTTATCCCCACAGGGGCTGCTCATGTTGCCTTTTGTAGTCGTACCTACTTGCCTCTTCCCTATCCCCTTAAACTCTTTTTTCCTTTTCTGTTTTTTTAATTAAAGTAACATTGGTTTCTAACATTATATAAATCTCAGGTATACATCACTATGTTTTGATTTCTCGTAGGCTACATCATGTTCACCACCCAAAGACTAATTACCATTAAATTACTGAGAAGATAGCTAACAGCAGTAGCAGTATATCTCAATGATGATTACTAGCTTCTTGTACTACGAGGATGTAATTTAGTATAGTGCTAGGGGTATCAAAGATGAGAGATACTTTTTGTATGTTACCGTTCTTATTTATCTCCCTTAAAACGTATGCATACTTTCTAACTTTGAACATATTAATCTTTGAAATGAATTCCCTGCTGTCAAATTCTTACATATCCAAACATTAAATTAGCTAGTTATATTCTTTCAAATTGACACATGCTTACATTTTCTATTTTCTCTCCATGTGCTATCCATTCTCCCTCTTCATGAAAATATTAGGTCACCAAAAAGGAGACGATCTCGATCTGGTTCTAGATCTCGAAGGTCTCGTCATCGACGTTCTCGATCCCGGTCAAGAGATCGACGTCGACATTCTCCTAGATCTCGTTCCCAGGAAAGACGAGATCGAGAAAAAGAAAGAGAACGCCGACAAAAAGGCCTTCCTCAGATCAAACCAGAAACTGCAAGTGGTAAATTAACCTTTACATTTAAACTTCCTGCATTATTTTTTTCAGGTCCTGGGTTTAAAATCCTTTATAACTATTAGCAAAGTAGCAGCTTATCATGTCTTACTCATTTGTGCTTTTGTATATACCCTTGGATTTGCTTTTGTACGTTAAGCCAGCTATAAAGCAGCAATAAGGAGTGAAGCAAACTAATAGTGAGTCTTGAATCTCATGTATGAAATATAAAGTCATTAATTAGCTCCCTTATGCACAATGGGAAAGTTTTAACTTTTTTCCATTATAACTAATACCCTCTTTTATAAATATTTGTAATTTATACAGTTTATTAGTTTGCATTATCTCCTGAATCTCATCATATGTTTAGAATATGTTTGATAAGGTCTGCTAGACACATTATTCATATAAGTCTGTAGCTGTTAGTGAAATTTTAATTTACAGTGTGACTAGGGCATGTGTAAAACTAACTCTGTAAGGCTTATTTCCTACGACACAACATAAGAGAAAAACCATTTACACTCGACAGTTGGAAAGGGACAACTACATATAGTGAACAAAAGCACTGAATTGATTGGTGATCAAGAGAATTGGGGTCAAGTCTTAGCTCTGCTGTTTTCTTACCAAGGGTGGCCTTGGGCAAGTTACTGCCTCTCTGGCCCCAGTTTTCATAGATGAAATTTTGAGATCTATGCACAAAAAGGACAGTTTTTTCCAACTCTTATGTGTACCTTTCACTATCCTGGTTCCGTTTCTGGAAGTACTACCACATTTTTCTAGAATTTTTTAAGATGTATTTTAATGTATATAGGATTTACTACTTAAACTTGTGGTATCGTAATGTAACTCATGCATATTTTCTGTAATGAATTTTTTCATGTAAGGTACAGTGCTGCTGATTATCAAGTGTGTATATTTTTATGATTATAATTTTATTTTAAGTTTGTAGTACTACACTCTGGGTGGGACAACTGGACAAAAGGACTACTCAGCAGGACGTTGCCAGTCTCTTAGAAGAGTTTGGTCCAATTGAATCAATTAATGTGAGTGTTTATTAAATTATTTAATGACAGTGGATAGATGTGATTGTCATTTTATGAAATTAAGGACTTGAGACCTAAGTTAAAATTTGCCCAGGTTTGTAGAAGATGTGGCTACAGGTTAGGTTTTCTGAGTCCATGTTTAGCATTCTCTACCATTTAACTACAGTCCTTGGATAACTGTGTTTCATTTAAAACCTTTTTCTAGAAAAGCCTTTATATAACAAAGCTTGGGGGACTGTAGGTTCATTAATAATTAGCAGATGAGACCAAACTTGAACTGACAATTTACAAAAAGTTAATCTCAGATTATAGAACACTGGTTTGGGGCAGAGGGATTGTGGTTGGTGTTGTTAGAACTGATTTCTCAGTATTATGTCTTGTTGCTCTTTGATTTTGATATATTTTATAATATTAAAATGTTTTGGAGCAGATGATTCCTCCCAGAGGCTGTGCCTATATTGTTATGGTTCATAGGCAAGACGCTTATCGTGCCCTGCAGAAACTGAGCCGAGGAAACTATAAAGTGAACCAGAAATCCATAAAGGTATAGTTTTATACCTTACAATTCATTTTTTAAAAAAGTTAATGCATAATATTAGACGGCTTTTTACGAACTGTAATTTTGGACACTGGGGCCTTTCATAGGCATCTATTTTTAAAGAGGTTATCTCCTAAAAGTTAACATAAAATTTTCAAAGTTAGGTGCAAGGTAGAATTTTGTTTATAAAAAAAAAGGTAGGTTCGTAAAGGTATTTAATTAATTAGTGCTTTAAATATAATGTTATTTAGTAAAATACTTGTCATTCAAAAATTTTGTATTTTCTACACTCCGTTTTTAAAGTTTATCATCTCAGAATTAACTATGAAAAATATTCACCAAAAAGAGAGAAAAAGATATAGGTTCCTTGGTATTCTTCCCCTAAGGGGCCAGAGTCAGTGTTTCCTCAGTGTCATAACACTCTGTTCTACCCTTGGATTACACAAAAGGATTTTGTCTATTGAATAATTCCAGGGTACCCAAAACTTTTGAAAGTAATTCCCACTTTTTTTATGCTGGGTTGTACAAGGAGCTTCAACCTTTCTCTCATTTCCTTTTCTCTAAGTTTTATGCTGGCTGGATTAAGCGGGTGGGTGGGTGGAGGAATGGGTAAGATGTGTGATGCCAGTCAAATTTCCATCCTAGGACAAAGTGGGATAAAAGGGTAACCAATCGCCTACTGTCAAATAAAGCTTTGAGTGAGATCCAGGGATAGCTGGGCCAGATTACTCCCTTGCTGCCCAAGTCTGAATGATTAGAATGGTAGGGAACAGTTAACTCTGAAAATTTATGACATTCTTCTCCCTTCCTTCTTTTTTATATTTTAACTAATGGTGAAATAGATTGCCTGGGCCTTAAACAAAGGAATAAAGGCAGATTATAAGCAGTATTGGGATGTAGAACTTGGTGTTACTTATATTCCATGGGACAAAGTTAAGCCTGAAGAACTGGAGAGTTTTTGTGAAGGAGGAATGTTGGACAGTGATACACTTAATCCAGGTAAAGCAGTATTTAATTTCTTTTAAAATTCATCTATTTTCTTGGTAGTACATATGACAAATATTCTTTGCATTAGGAAGTGATATTTGAGAAGAAAATTTTCAAGTACCCACTGTGTGCCAATCTCCATTATAAACTAGGGAAACAGTGAATTAAGATAAATGTGGTCTTTGCCCATATGCAACTTAGTTTTAGTGGGAAAGATGCAGACCAAATGAAATCACTACTAATTGTGGGGCTAATTATTAACTACGGTATTAAGTAGATCTTAAGTAGAATTTTTCACTGTGAAAACTTAGATCAAATGAGTCTTAAACTGAGCATCGTTGGTATTGTGTTTTAATCCAGTATATCATAATAATTTCTTTGAAAATGTTTAAATGTCCAGAGTAGCAATCAGAAGTAAACATTTGAGACAAGAAGGTTCTTTGTGGGCCTGGATATTAAAAATGCCAGGACAGTGGAATTGTGGTGCGGAAGATGGCAGAATGTATGAGCATGCCTGGAGATTGATAGCAGCACAAGGAGGAGTACAGGGTGGCATGGCAAAATAGAAAGAACGTTTAAAGGAAGCTTCAAGCAGGAGTGATGGTTTGAGAGCCGAAAGGAGGTGAAACAATGCTGAACTATTCCCATACCGAACTCCTCCCTCCACCTTGCATGATGCCTTCACTCAAGCATAGAGCTGGGTTTCTGTCCAGGCAAACAGTTATGAAGGGTCTGCTATGCACCAGGCATTCTGAGAGGCTCTGGTGCAGAGTGAAAATCCTGCTTCTCCCTCCCAGGATCTTTAATCCAGGCAGACCACTGTTGTGGTTAAGAACATAGACTCTAGAGCCAGGTGTGTCTGGGTTGAGTTCCATCTCTGCCACTTACTAGGTATGTGACCTTGGACAAAGTGTCTTTTCCTCATTTATAAAGTGGGAATAATGATAGGACATCCTTATAGATGGTTATGAGAATTAAATGAATTAATAGATATAAAATGCTTAGAAGTCTGCCTGGCGCACAGTAAGCATTCTTTTGCATGTTTGCTATTGTTATCCATTAATTTAAACAATTAACATTTATAAGTTAGCATAGGCATTTCTTTAATAGTTAGAATGCTGATTTTTTAATATTTAAAAAATCATTTCTGGGTTTAAAGTTATAAACTGGAAATGGCAAACTGTTTAAAATTTCTTTAACTCTCATAGATTGGAAAGGAATTCCCAAGAAGCATGAAAATGAAGTTGCTCAAAATGGAGGGGCAGAAACCTCACACACAGAACCCGTGTCGCCCATACCTAAACCGTTACCTGTGCCTGTCCCTCCTATCCCTGTTCCAGCGCCTATAACAGTGCCACCTCCACAGGTAGGAATATTTGGGGCATCATGTAAACATTTAAATGTCTGAAAGATACCACTCTGAATCCTACTGTAGATGTATGTCTAGATTCATAGTCAACGACATGAGTGCATAAATGTGCATATTCTTCATGTTTTGCTATGTCAGACCTATTGTTTATAAACTCTTTAACATTTTTTCATAATGTTAATAAAACGAGAATAAATTCACATTGCCTTACATCTGTAGATGATTCAGTGTCTTATCCTCATAATGTTTCAGACTCCTGGCTTTGCTCTGGTGGTCTTCCTATGTCAGAATTGTTTTAAGGATTAAATGAGATAATGTATGTTAAATATTCAGCATGTTTCCTATTACATAATAAGAGCTAACTGATGAAAAACCTTTCAGTAAAAATTATAAATACTTGACCCAGAGTTTTATATGTGATCTAGTAGATTTTTCTTTCCTTTCAGTACCTTCCTTCCTCAGTTTCTCACATTAAAACTGAATCAGATAAATCTGAGCTATCTCAAGTGGATTGCCTGGCCTCTTGATTTTCTCAGTGTAAGGAGAAAATTACATGCTTTGATACATACTTAGCTATGATATTTTATAAATGGATTTCCCAAGTTGGCAGACTATTTAGTTGACCTTTTGGATATGTCCTTCCAGTGCAGGTTCTAAATATGATTCAATGTATATTAGCACTTGTTTAAAGAAACCTGACCTGTTAAAACTGATCATACCTTTTTTTATTTTTTTAATAATAGCTGACATTTTTGGGGTGTTTATTAATTGCCAGGCACTAGGCACATAACATATATTAACTATTTAATCCCCATAATTATCTGAGGTTGGTTGGCACTTTTGCGTTTTTCAGATGAGTAAAACTGAGCTGTGGAGAGTGTAAGTAGCTTGCTCAAGGGCACAAAGCTAGTTAAAAGGGGGGGCCAGGCAGCTTGACCCTAAGACCTGTGATCTTAATCACTGTAAATTGCCAGGTAGCTTTTCTTTGAGTTCTGTTCTCAAACTTTTGACCTGACCATGGAACATGTTTTAACATGTTATGTTCTATCAGAACACCAGTAGATACTGGTGAAATACAATGTGAATTTGCTGTCATAAAGTCGAGAACAAAAATTTGATTTCTGTCATTTGGGGTAGGTACGGATTACCACCTGTCATCTAATACGTTTATTCACATAATCACAAATTTAGAAATACCTGTTTTTTCAACAAGATATTTTCTTCATCTGTACGCACTGTATGGGTGGGAGGGTGGTAGATAGATGGCTTCCTTTCTCCTTCTTTCTAGGTCCCACCACACCAGCCAGGTCCTCCTGTCGTTGGTGCTCTCCAGCCACCTGCTTTCACACCTCCTTTGGGAATTCCCCCTCCGGGCTTTGGTCCCGGTGTTCCTCCTCCGCCGCCGCCTCCACCATTTTTGCGCCCAGGATTCAACCCAATGCATTTACCACCAGGTACACTAAGTTATTTGAGAAGATACTTTTTTTAGAGTCTGAAATAAAATGACATTGATGTGGATGTTATTTTTCTTATTCTAGGTTTTCTTCCTCCTGGACCCCCACCTCCTATAACTCCACCAGTGTCCATTCCTCCTCCTCACACTCCACCAATAAGCATCCCAAACTGTAAGCATATTTTTCCTTTGTGTTCACTTATCCTTGGAGTCAGGAGTAGGAGGGAGAAAGGACCAGTAATAGGATCTATAGTATGGCAAAAGAATGTTGACCGGGGTGATAATTAATTATTCAGCTTCACATGTTGATGTAATTATATTCCTTAGCTACTATCGCTGGTATAAATGAAGACACTACAAAAGACTTATCTATTGGAAATCCCATTCCAACAGTGGTGTCTGGGGCTAGAGGAAATGCCGAGTCTGGTGACAGTGTGAAAATGTATGGCTCTGCTGTGCCACCTGCTGCACCCACGAATCTGCCCACCCCTCCTGTAACCCAGCCTGTTTCACTTCTTGGTAAGTTAATTTTTTTATCACTAGTTTTTTTTTCCCCTGGCCAAGTTAGATTTTTTAAGAACAATGCTAATTCTGGTACAGTGTTCTCTGAGGCTGATATATTTTTTTGAGGAAAATCTTCCTCTTAAATCAAGGATATGCCCTTGGTCTTTACCAAGTGTAGCCCAAGAGACAACCTCAAAGATGAAATCATGTTTGTTTGTCTTGAGTAAAAGTTTGAATTTGCATATCTTAATTGGTATAGAAAAGCGATTAAACTAATCTCTATAAAAAAGAATTGGTCCAAAGTCCATGATCGACATGAACCCACATGTTCCAACTTTATAAGAGAGAGCATTTCTTTGACAACATAGGTTTTTTTATAGATCTAAAACCCCTGGACTGTGCTTGCATTCTCTGTGGGCTCACAAAGAAAGTATCTTTGATGCTTTGCAATAAAATGGCTTTGTTATCTGAGTGACAGTTACACAGCCTGAGGTCATGCCTTCCCACTGATCCCTCAGTTTTCTTCTGCTAGAGATTATGTGTTGTACTCTTTACCCACAATTTGACTTTCCCTTGAAGTGTGATTTAGATTGTTTATACCTTTAAGAGGCCTTACCCTTGCTTGCTTCAATTATAAATGAATATATCATATACTTGTTATAGTGACCATCTTTTAAATTAATAAAATTGTATTTCAGTTGGTATTGCCAAGTATAATTAACACTTGATTCTCTTAATGGGTGGTTAATTCATTCTTCGTATTATAACATTCGAGTCCTGTGAGCCCATGTTATTTTTCAGAGGTGTCTGTCTGCACTTTTGCTTTCATAATCTTAGATCTTTTAGGAAAGAGCACATTGGCTCCCTCTGAGATGTAGGACTGTGAGACATTGACTTGTGATGCAGGACTTTTTTCTTTTCAACTACACCTTTCAGTACTGTTGGAAATTTTTACTTTGTGCATGTACCACCTTTATAATAAAAACGAATTTGTTTTTAAATGGCATGCTGTCTTCTGCCCTCTCCAAGACTGAGCTTAGGCTGCTAATAAACTTGATTTTTATTTCCCTTGGTACACAGACTGGGTAATGAATGGTAAAAGAGGATTGGGATTAAAATTGGTCAGAAGTAATAATAGCAGTAGTCATCATCATGATGGGAGGTGATTTGTTTAATGAGGAAGTTGCTTCAGAGGTCTACTCCCTAATGGAAATCATGTAGTAGGAGGAACGTTGGACTAGGAGCCAGGAAACCTTGACAGGACTAGGAGCCAGGAAACCTTGACATCTTTGGATCTCAGTTTTGTTGTGCTTCCCCCCTCCCCCCCCCCCCCCCCCCCCCCGCTTTTCCGTATTTGTAATAAGGTGGTTACACAAGAATCACAGAATCTGAGTCAGGTAGAATTTTCTGATCAACCCCTTTCCTACAGCCTACACTCACGCCCCTGATTATGAATTCTCTTTGAAATGAAATTTCTAGTTTGGTGTCCACGGATATAAGGCCACCTGGGACTATTTACAAAATTGTGTGTGTTTGTACTTTTTTCTGGGCTTAGTAAATTCATTGAATGGGTGAAAAGATTTCATCATCTCCAAGAGTTTAACAACCACTATTTCAAACAACCTTGAAGAATAAGTATCCTGCCTCTGATTTAACATTTAGGTTTTGTAGACTCTGCCCTTTATTTCTTATCACTACTAAAATATATCCTTTAAACTCTGTATCCAACATGTGAAACAAAATAAAACACAGATGAAAAGTTGGTGAGCTTAATGACCTAAGCACTGCTAGAACAATAATTAAATTTCGTAGTATTTATCCTTCCCTGACATACCTGTTTGGATTGGATGTCCATCTCCCCCTACCACCACCACTAGAATGGAAGTTCCATGAGAGAGGGACATGTGTTACATGAGTAGGTGGATTAATGGATGGTTTTCAATGCAGGGCTGTTTATACATCACCTCTGATTATGATCTTTGTATATAACTTAAACAAAATTTAGAAATTGAAGACTGCTCCAAATCTGGAAAGGTTAAAATTTGACATAAAAATGAAAACTGTTTTGTTAAATAAGCACTTTTAACTACAATGCAGTTTTGTTCCAATCTGAGAAAGAAAACCTTCCATGTACCTTCAATTAGAAATCTTGAAAAGAATATCCCATGAATTTTGACTCTCAGAGAAATGAGATTTTTTTAATGTGTATGCCGATAAAGGAGGATTTATCCAAAAGATTAATCACAGTTCCATCATTTTGATAAAGGACTGTAGTAATCACATGCAGTACGGCAGCACTAAAGGGTCAGCAATTAGGTTAGGGTGTTGTTGATGTTAATCAAGTAATGGAATACCAGGACTAAGATGCTTTCACGTTTCCTCTTGGTGCTGTAATATTTTCTCCTATGATAAAAAGAAGTGTTAAGCCAAACCAGAAAACTTTAAGCCTAGAAGGTGATACTACACTTCAGTTTCTTCATCTGTAAAAAAGGGAATAAAAATGTCACACCAGAGTGTTGTGATGATTCAGTGTGCTAACGTATATAAAACAGCTGGCACGGGGCCTGCCACAGGGTAGGTGCTCAGTGAATGGTGGGTGCTTGTTACAGGTAAGGAATGTCATAGACCATATTTGGAAATACCTAGAGAATATTTATTCTTTGAAATTCTAAAACTATATTACTCTAGCTATGATTGATTTTAAGCTGTTGTATTTATTGACAGATAGCGGAAGCAAACTTTTTAGGAAAAAATGTATCTTGACATAGATGCCTCAGGTATTTTCATGATATGTTAGACCAGATCCTAAGTTCACACATATTCAAGTTCCATCACTTGGCTTACTGAGAAAACACGTGTGTTAGTCATAGTGATAGTTCATTTAAATAGCACAACATGGTATCTGTATTCTTCTCCTTAATGATACTCAAATAGTTTTTTTACATTGGAAGGTAAATGTATCATTGAGACTTAACTGAGTTCTTGCATCTTAATTTCTGAATTGTGGCACTAATACTTTTAAAGTAGCATGGTCCAAACAAATGTTCAACAGATCTCCCAAAGTTCTGTAGTGAGGCCTGCGATTATACTGGAAGGAGCCAGAGGGGTGCTCTAAGGATAGTTTGGTTTAAAGAATTTTCTGAATGATCAGACTTAAGTGTGGGTGTTAGTTTGGGAGTGATGACTACCTGCTTCTGGAGTTGAGCTGAGGTAGCCCATACTACCACATTTGTAGAGAACTACATCTCCATGTTTTAGAGATTCTGATTATTTTAGTAACTGATAATCTGAAACTATAAAATTATTTGATGGCACAATAGTAATGCATTATGGCTTGATTTTAAAGAAATTCATTCTTACTACCTCACCTTCAAAATAGCTAATAGAACAGTGGTGGTTTCCTAAAAGCTAAAGGTACCAGTCTGCAGTTGTTGATCATTTAGGAGAGAAGGAATATTAAAGATGATAGCAATTCTGTTCAATCTCTTTACTGTATAAGTGTATGTGTTTACTTTTCAAAAACTTGTATAACGTGTCTCTGATGTACAGCGTATTTTTATTAAAAAGTTCATTGTAAATGTGAAATTTGGGTTACTTTGGTGTTCCAAACAATAAAAAACATACACAAAAAAAGTTTGTTTGTGTTACATATCTCTACTGTGTTACCAGTACATCCAAAATACCTTTTCAAGGAAAAATTTTACTAAGTTGGACTCATTCCTTTTGTGGAAAATTAAAGCCTCGTCTCTTGCCAAATACATTTATTTGTTAATTTTTAAGATGCAGAGATTCTCCCCATTTTTGTCACACTGCTGTAGATGAGGTTGAAATTTATAAATAAGAATTGGGTATTTATAAGATTGCTTCCTATTTACTGGTAATTATTGTTACCGAAGATTTAAAGCAAAAGTCACAAATTGGTGGCCTGCAGGCTGAATTGCTAGATAGTGATATATTTCAGGCTTGATTTCCACACATCCTTGCATGGCCTCAAAAGGCATTATGGGTTGATGGTCCCAAATTTGGACACTTCAGGAAATGATGTGGACAGAATTGGTTTGTGAATTAAACAGGAGTGTTTGCCTTTATGCAGTAGTTGTGATCCCTAAAACTGCCTAGCAGATGAATAATTTTACCACTGAGTTCAGTAATTACTTTAAAATTATGATTTGTGATTTCACTTAGCTTTGGATTTCTCTGCCCAGAATTTTGATTTTTTATAGTTAGTAATTTTTAACAACATTTAAATTAGAACATTAGAGCACCAATCTACGAGTGTGAATAACATTCAAAGGAAACCTGAAGAAAATTTTAGAAAGTTTTTTTAATGATATCTAATTTTTTTAAACAATTTTTACATTTTAATGTCTTTTCTTATTCTGAACTTTGCTATAATGTTTGGTTATATTAAATTGTAAGCTAGAGGGATGTACCAGATGTTTAATTTCGTGCCCAAAAAAGCCTGCTGACTTTATCCTATAAAAGTGTTCATCTTTTGAAGGCGTCAAAATCTTTGAATTGGTACTCTAAATACTGCGTTATGTTACTACACTAGTGTCATGTAGTAGTAGTGGTTCCCAAATACTCATCACAGTGCCTTCAGCTTAGTATATAACATTGTTCTGTGGATACAGTGGATAATTAAAAGCAATTAATCTACAACTAATATTCCCTTAATTATGAATTCATGCATCAATACGCTATATTTTATCAGAAGGCAAAGCACTTCAAGAGAAGTATGTGGACAGTCTTGTGCAGAAACTTGAAAGCTGCTTATCACGTTGTCCCCATCTCCCCCTGCGCTTCCTAGGCAGCAGAACTCTGGCCTAAGAGGTCTCTTACATTTAAATCTCTCTGATAGACATGTTTTTGGGTGCAGAAACTCTGGGCTTTAGATTGATTTTGGTAGACAGAGATATTGCCGTGAAGAATTTCAGGTAAGATTTTTTTCCAGCTAACACTGAAAATAAAATACGCTGCAGATAACATCATTCAGTGACAGGTTAACTGTATAT